TTTACGATATTAGTTTGTTTTTGAATTATGTATTCTCTTTCAGTTTTATCAGTTCAGAAAATCGTTTTGTTTAATTTTAAACGATATAAATAYATTACAATCATACCGATAACGCGTGAGTATAATTTATTAACTGTTAACAAATACTTTTACCATATCAAAAGACAAAACGAGTTTCAAATCTTTTAATGTTATGTCGACAAAAATCTAATAAATAACCTGACAACGTATAATGTAAAATATCCCAAACATATACCGGCAGTTGGAGCGGAGGGACAAATCGAGAAAATATGAAACAGGAAAAAAAAACCTAGAATTGTTATCTTCATAAAATTGTATGTCAAGGAAAATTATATTATGATATTTTCCTTTCATAGTTCCATTAAGGACTAATATATTCTCGGAATAATATTTTTCTAAACAGAATTAACTTAGGAAAATATAAAACAGTAAAATAATAACGCGGAACCGTATTCTCGAGGAACGGTTTTAATTAGTAAAATATTGTTCAAGGCTGTATAATTCAGTACAACATTTTTGAATATATTATACACGTGGATCCGTATTAATCTAAAATCTTATTAATCGAAAAAATAAACATAGGAATAGATTTGACAGTACGGTTTTTCAMAAGAAAATATTCACGAGATAAAGTATTAAAAAGAAATATTTTTTTTCTTAGAATTTTATAAGACATTATAAAATAATATTTCTTTTTAATAATTCACTTCGTGAATATTTTCCAATAAATAACTGTCCTGTCCCATCTAGTTCTATGATTTATTTTTTCGATTAATAAGATTTTAGATTAATACCGATACAAGTGTATATAATATACTCAAAAATGTTGTCCCRAATTATACAGCCCTAAGCAATATTTTACTAATTTATAATATTCCTGAAAAATACAGTTCTGCGTTATTATTTTACTGTTTTATATTTTCCATAGTATATAAAATTTCATTCTTTTATTATACCATTTTTTTTTTTTTTAAATATCTTCCCCTACAAGAAATCTAATCCAAATAATTATTTTCCTGAAAAGTACGGTTCTATATGAATATTTTCCTAATTTATATATGTGCTCCTAGTTGGAAATATTTTTTATTTAAATTTCAAAATAATATGGTTCTGATAATAATTTAATAWWTAATATTATTTAAGCGAAACGCGTTTWTTTCAAACGAATTTATTCTCGATATATTTGGTTAGGTTAGGTATAAAATTTACAGGTATAAAAGAATTGAGAAAAACCATTTGGACATTAAATTTTGTTTTTRGGAAAAGTGACGTCGTGACGACCAACACCACTGACGATAATATACGATAGATATAACATATTTGGTACGTTTKATATTGCACCAATAAAAATCATAATTGAACAGAATCAAAAATCTCATCGAGTCTTTCGCACAACAGTTTGGAACCTCCRACAGGTTATACCGAAGGACATCTGCAGTGGCGTGAACACCCACTCACTATATCCGTCGTCCAACAACTATGGTACTCATCTTGCTGGTGTCACAACATCTACCCGAGACCATTAATGTCCATCCACAGTAAGTCCCACGCGTCAGGATTTTAAAATGTTCTCTGTCGTCATTTTTAAGAAATGAAAATTGTTGATCGTATTTTAATGGCAGCTTTTAGYCTTAAGATTATTTTTCACATAATATTATATACATACAAAAGTCGGCCATTTTTAGAAAATCAGTCGTTTCTGATTGTGTGATATTTAAAATTAAAATACTAGATTCTCCAAGTTTTGTTAGACAAAAGCTGTGGAGGTCACATAAGAATATGTAATGTCCGTAGTTTTTGTCATAYTTGTCGATTATTTGGAAAACCCTATATATTGTTAAGAGTTAAGACCAGTCATATAAAAGTTATTGTTAATCTATATCAGATTATTCATTATTTATACTTTTTTGTTATACTTAGCACTAAGTTAAATAAAAAATGTATTTTTTTTTGTTCAGTATCACAACAAAAATTTACAAACTATTGATGTAGGCACATCACTATAGTCTAAGTGATATTGAATTTAACTTTACAAAGTGTTTCAAACATTTTTTCCGTCTATAACTTTTTTAAATTTACATTTAGTTAATGGTTTTAGAAAATTAATATTAACACTTGAAAGTTTTTATAATTTAATAAAATAATTGACTTATTTTATACAACCTTTATTAACTTGTTAAAATTATTTTTATACTTATGTAAAAATGAAATTAACAAACTTACCAAACAAATTAGTCTCTTGGGCGGTCTTCCGTTACAATAAATTAATGTAAAATATAATAACTAAATGTCTTGTCTTTGACATTATTAATTAAACAGCCCTATTTCATATAGAACACTGTTTTTTTTTTTAATTTTCCAACTTTTATGGTCCCGTTTATTGCTTTTTAGGCCGTCACAAAATCTTAAAAATATCGTTCTGAATTTTTGTTACTATTTATCGTTTTTACCATCGTACTACCTAATTTAACAATAGTCATTTTACTATGTATTCAATTATATATATATATATATTTTTTTTTTTTACTTGATATTAACATGACCACCATTACTATAAATTATAATCGAATATTATTATATTTGTCAGTTTATCTCTATTATTGAAACTAATTATTTTATTATTAATGATGATTACGATAATATTGAAAAATCGCAGTGTAAAATTCTTATTGCGTTTTAATCAATGTTAAATCTGTTAAAAGTAAAACGTTTCTAAAATTGTAACTAGATAAAAGTACAATTCAATTTCTAAACCTGATTAAATCATTCAAATCGTTTGATCAGCCTCTTATAAAATAAGTATAATAATATTTTTCTTTTTTTTTATTATGATTTCTCGTTTTAATTCAACACTCGTGACATTTCGTAGTATACTACAGACAAGTGTTTTAGTAAATTGACGAGCTCAAAGCCACTGAAAGGCGCGTCGGTTAGATGTGCTTTTCGTTACTTGTTCAAGTATTGTTTTATACATTTATATTTATCGTATACGTCCAACCTTAATACTTACTGATTTAATGACAGAGAGATTAATTTATATTTACTTTGCCCCGACAAAACGGTCAAAGTATAATGYAGGTACCTATAGTTTGACAAACGTTCGATTCGCTCGTRACCGACGAGAACTGTTTTTTTTTCTCGTCAAACACCGGATATCAGCTTTTTTATAACCCAATTCCGCGTTCAAGGAACGGCTGCCAAATAATTACGAAGACTTTATATTATAATAAGCGTTTGTTGCATTATAAACAAAATCGAATTTTCGACTGTTTTATATGTTTATAAAAGCTACCAAATYATACAATATTTGGTGATAATAATTTAAAAACTTTGTAATGAGCTTTTCACGAAAATTTGTTTCATACGAACAAGCGTTTAAAACGGTATATGGTAACTAGACATATATTGTAATAAAGTATAAACACAGTGCAAATTAAATTAATTATTATTTCGACTTAAACGGGCACATGCCATGAATAATTTTTCCTTATCCAATTATCTCGGTTGTCGCAACTGTGTTATATCATTATACTATATCTATACAGGTAAGAGATACGATCAGAATTTTTTCATACAATAATAATTTAATTTATTTGCTATCAGTCTAAACTTTTTTGGCCAAAACAATTATTTGTTTTTTATGAAAATAATTATAATATATTATATCATGTAATCAAACAGGCTATATAGTTGAATTAAATGTAAATTATTTGCAATATTTGTTTATGGGGAACAGTGTAATTTTATTGTGTGCTTTAATACATTTCAGTGCTAAGGAATTGCATCGTTTACACGTCGGGTGCATATTATTTAAGTTAGCGTACGTCTGTTTGTTTATTTTTTAATATAGGTAATAATAATAATAATAATAATATTAAAAACATATTATGTGAGAGTCATACAAATAAATGCGTTTAACGAATACTGCGAAAGAAACATAATAATCACAATATCATATTATAATTATTAAGTATGTACTATTAGGTAGGTATATTTACACGGCTATCGTAATTTTAATATTTTTATTGAGCATACAAACTAACTATTGTCGTTGTAATATTGAGAGAATAATATTGTGAGTATATTTTGAATGCATTTTTTAAACAGCATCCATCGGTATTGGGATAAACCGAAATTTTTTTATTTTTTAATCGATATTCAATTGCTTGAAGTTTCCGTCAAACCCGAAGAGCTCCGAATGTTCGTTGCTGTTCGTGTCTTTCGGCTTTCTGTCCATGTCCGCTTTCAACGAAAGTATTCCGTTGACGAACATATCTCTTTCCGCGATGATGTTCTCCTTGCAGAATTCTGTGGATAAATCATTCAAACCGTTTTAATTAAATGCGATATCGGACGAGGTTACAACAACATAGAACCATAAATCTGTTACATATAATACACATTTCACTTTTAAAAAAACTGAAGTTCATTCTCATGAGCTTTACCTATAAATAAAAATGTGGTGTATACGAGTCAATAGCGATTTTCCCTTCCTCAAAAGGTAATTTCAAGAAAAATTGCGGATCTGCATCTACACAATTTTACTCAATATTCGAAGATTTTCAAACGTCAAAGCAACATTTTATGAGTAATTTATTGTATGTTATACATTTTTTAACATTAAAAGTATTTATGATGTAACAACCTTTTATGATAAATTTAAATTTAATAATATGGTTGTAGCCTATAAGCGCAAAAAAAAACTACCTTTTTAATAACCCATAAGTACAAATCAATATCATAAAAATGTATATTTTATTAAAATCGTCGATATTATAAATATTTAATTAAGTATTTACAGTGATATTGAAATTAGTTTAAAATATCARTAAAAAATAAAAATAATAATTTTGAGTATTATTTTCAATTAKTTAAACAAGTATCATAAATAAATAAATATATTAAACAAATATAATAATGAGTAGGTACCTCAAAACTAAACTTAAAATTTGAAGCCAACTGTCATCAAATATTCTAATCTGGAAATTTTTTTTCTTTATACAAGGTCCGAATTTATATATTGGAGTTGACTACAGATTTACAGTTTATTTTTGCGCTTTTATGCCACCACCAAGGTACAAAAGCTCAAATTTGTTTTTCGCTTTTGAGTTACTGTAAAAAAAGGTCGATTTGCGCTTTCAGGTTTCACCGAATAATGTCAATTTAGTTAAAACATTTTTTATAAAATATTTGTTCTTTGTTGTAAACAAACATATAATAACTGTTCAAATACTAGGTAGGTAGATCGCTTTCTGCCCCAGTGGACTTGGGTAGATTCTATTAATACGAGTTTGTCGTTACCAATAATATTTGATTAAACGCAATATATAAAATTAAAAATAATATACTCACCACCCAGTTCTTTGATGGATTTATCGCTACCRCCGAAATCTGATGGAACACATTCTTTTTGGATATGTTGAAGTACATCCAATGGGTTATTGTGCATAAATATCTRAAGTCAAACACGAATCGTCTTTGTATGTACCAATAATAAATATTATTTTAAATGAATTTAAAATCGCATAAATTATAATCTGTTTTATTTTATTTTGAAAGTTAGTTACGATTTATTGTATTAAATTTAAATAAATTTGAATTTTAGCGAATTATAATATTATTATCATCACTTAACGACGTCGTTTACWTAAAAATATTTTCAACAAACACTACGCTGCCGAGTTCTGGAAAGTTTAAGACCATTATTCATTTGAGAGGTACCTATTATAGGTGCTTAAAATAGCTAACCTGGAGTACAGAATTTAAAAGTAAATATTTAYGTGACTGTATATTATGTATACCTACTGTTTAACCCAGGCAGTATACAGTTGACGCAAATAGCCAAGATATATCACTGCGAATACTTACACGAGATTGAATTTTTTTGGGAACCAGAGATTTTAAAATATTGAACACCACGGCTGCATACGATGGTACGTTTATGAAGTGGACMTGTATCAGTTTGTACGGGAAAAATGTCTGAAAACAAAATATAATTGGTTAACGACATTATTCGTGTATGTGTTATTATAGAAATAGTATAATTCGACGGACAATATTAGGCAATTTACTGCAACTATTTACGTCTTCTAYAGCGAAACATATCTATTTAACATGTGAACTTCTATCAACATTGGTATAATGTCTCTGAATTTTCTAGCTAACCGTTTCAATCTTTGTTCGAAAAAGTTAATAATAATAATCATAAACATATTACATATACCTATCTACCTATTAATATTTACATTGA